TTGTCATCAACATTTCTAGCATGTGATAGGTCTAGATCAAAATCCTCGTGGAGATAACATCACCCGCTCAGAACACCGTGTGCCATAATAGCCATTACTGCTCAAGACACACCTGCTTTTTGCTCTGTTACTGTTGTTTATTTTTACTCCATTTAAAATTATATTTCCAAAACTATAATGAATGAACATACATGAGCAATATAAAGCTATGTTAATACCTAGTAATAAAGTAATAATAAGCCTCTAAATGCAAAACTGGCTCTTGCATGATCTGTTTTTTAAGGCATATATATTATGACATCTAAACATACTATCAACTGGTTGTATAACACATAATTTATGTCAGAATTCATCTGATTATAAAAGTAGCCTAGCTGATTATAAAAAAGGAAAAAAGATGGTTAAATAATCTGGACACTGGTCAATTTGTAGAGTTACATACTTGTTATAAGGTACATGGTAACAATATGCCATTCTATGAATAGTCTTCTGGGCTTTCTGTGTCTTAGGAGTGACCATCAAATATATTCACAGGTCATCTTTTCCCAGTTGTTCCTACACTGTTTTTGCTACTTTTCTATCCTACTGCTCCATGTACTGCAATTCAGTTTGAGAGCAATCCTCATAACACATGAGTCAGTATAAATATTAATTTATTGAATTGCTTGGGAAAGTCTTCTGGTTTTAATTTTTATCTTCAAGAAGTGGCATTTCTCAATCACAATTATGTAGCTTATAATACAAATGTTGTCCAAAAATATATTTTTTGTGTGTTTAAAATAAAAATGCTCAAGTATTACTTATTTGAAATATCTTGTAGAGCTGTCTCCTAACCTTTCTGTAATTTGTTTTTAGTAGGAAGTGAGGGCTAAATGACTAATTCATTTTGTTTCTTATTTCAAACAGAAGCAAAAACAGAATAAAGTTTTCTGGAGAATTATCCTGGTTTATATTTAGTCGAGATTGAACTATTTCAGTGTGCAGTCATATGTACACCCTCATCTTCATTGTGAGCTGCTGATTGTTACTGCAGTTACAGAAAACAACACGCTTGAAAGAACCTCTGATGAAAGACACCAGACAAAGATTTTATGTCTGACTGATTCAATGTGAAACCAAAAAAATCCAGTAAGGAAAATCATGCCATAAAAATACACGAATAAGTCACTGTATCCTGGCCAACAAAGAATCTGAGATAATATATTTGACACCTTATCTGGGCACATGACAACAGTGGATGCTAGTTTTAAGGTTGACTTCAGAATTTATGAGTCACCTGGAAATCATGTTAGCCGGAGTCCTCCCCAAGCCACTCCTCACATTGCACATGGGATTTACCTTCTAACTTTACTAGTACTGGAAGCATATTTTCTGAATATAGGTTTTTGCTTTGCAGTTGTGCTGAAGTCAGTGAGCCTCTCGGGCATACTTACGTCAAAACTACCCTCCTTCTTGGTGCGGTTGGGTTTTTTGGGGGGTCTTATACCTGTTCTTCATTGATATCCAGGGCTGCCCTTCCCGAGAACCACAAACAGGAAATGTAGCATCTTTATAACTATACATCTGCCATAGATAAAAAAAGAGCAAAAACTTGAAAGTGTACAGAAAAAAACATTTAAGCCAGCGGTACATACATCAAAACTATTATACAAATCAATTGATCCTGTCCCAAAGCAAACATTAAAATAGTTAGTAAGCATTTAGAAAGAAGGGTGTTTTTTTTTCCTGAAATAAAAATTTAGATCACCTGAAGACTAGAACCTGAAGTACAGATAATCTGTTTTCATTAGTTAATTTTAAAAGACAAAAAACCAAAGAACAAGAGCCTATCTTGATTATTTCTGTGCTTCCAGAAGCTGTCATCCCATTCTGGCAACCTCCCTGGTTCTGAACGTTTAATGTAATTTAGAGGTTTGGTATTCATACATGTAGGATATTGTTCATCTTTCTAGTCGAGAAAGATTTCATCTTATCCATCATAAAGGCTGGGAGAGACCATATAAAGAGGACAGTACAAATAATCTTTATCCATTATGATTTATTCTCTACAATACTTCATTAGAGGATAGAGTTCGATTATTTACACTCAGAAGTTATTATATAGGTAGGAGGCAACCAAGTGTAATACAAAGAATTGGTCTGACATCTCTGCACTGAAGGTCAAAAGAGGTCTCCTGCTTTAAGGAAATAAATTAACCAAAAAAAACGAACAAAACAACATGTATTTTCCAGAATACAAACAGAAAACAGCACTAATAGTCAGTGAAGATTGCAGATGTTTGTTAATGTACTATGAGAACAAATTATTCTGTGCAAAGGTTAAAATGAACTCTTAGATTTTCTTACAGATTTTTTTGTTGTTGTTGTTGTTCTGATAAGTTGTAGATATGTGATATTTTGACCATCAAACCTTCCCAAACTGAAATGGCCTCAGTTGAGATTGACTGTTGAACGTTAGGAAAAAAAAAAAAAATCAGAACCTCACAGTGGAAACATTCCAAGACTGACAGACTCCAGTGATCAAAGACATTCTCCTGTAGTTACTGTAAAACAAAGACAATTCATAATTGCAGTGAGATTATTTCTCAGTTGTGGTTGTCATGAGAATAAGCCCTTCTAGACCAAAAGGCACTTGCTTCTAAGGATGAGTTAAATCCAATCAAACCAGGTAACAAGCTGCTTTGAAAAGGAGTAGTTCTAACCTGCTGTCCCAGTCAAGTAACCACAGAGAAATTCTTACACCAATTGCTCACAGATTTTGGTTGCTTCCATCCTGAGGCAACTCAAAGCACATTTTGTTTCTGGTTCACCTCCTTCATCCTTACGCATAGCTGCCATGTAATGATCTAGAAATGGGATTATTTCCTGAGACCACCTGTCCTTGTCATACGTTTTTCTGAGCTACCTTAACTATTGACACACTTTTAAACTGATTTTATAGCTGGACCCTTACGGGACTAAAGCTGAGAGGGCCTGTTTCTTAGGCAGCAGACAAGTGTTTCTGATTTGCTAGCTTCTCTTCTCACTGCAACAAGACAAGAACACAGTACATATTTAGAGGCATTTTTGTTTGTTTTTTTTTTATTTTATTTTTTAAACAGTCTGAGTGGGGAAATGGAAGTGGGAGAGGATAAAGCTTCCCCAGTCCCAAACCATCTAGCCCACTTCAGGCTTAAACCAACCAAGTCACTCAGTCCTAAAATTCTGTTCTTTAAAAATGACAGCTAACCCTCCCCACCCCACCCCCTTAGTTATCCCCTATTCAAATAAAATGAAATCAGGAAAACACTATACACTGTTGAAGACACGGAACAGGGCAAACATTTGAAAAAGAAACAATATTGTTGAAAAGCCTGGCACTATATGCCTGCATGACCAGTCTCACTGAGCGTGCTCAGGGGTGAAGTTTTAGCACCATTTTTTTGCTTTTTTAAACCTTTTGGAAATTAAATTCTAACATAGAACACTTGAACAGTAATGAGTGTAGCCCTATGTATCATACTGTTTGACAGCTGAAAGGTGAACGGTATGTCCAGAGCTGATCCCACCCTCCCCCATCACTACACGGCACCTGGGAGAGTAATTACAAACCACTCGAGTTTGTAACAAGACCGATTTATTCTCAGCAGCAGGAAATCATGAAACAATCCCTTAATCTTCAATTGCTTTTCAACAACATCACAAGGGAAAAGTGGCAATTTATAAGAATGACCCAGTACAGGAGGAAAGCTGGGTCGATATTGCACTGTTATCCAAATAGGACTCCCTCCTTTCCCTCACGTCTCTCTCCTCCAGCAGGAGAACGGTACACCAACATGAAGCAAAACTGCACAATTCTATTTCCTTCTCTAGGACCAGATGGAGCAGCAGCATGCACTTCTCTGCCTTCTACCATAGCCCTATTCCCTGCCATACCGGGAGAGAACTTGAGGCTTGAAACACCAGCCAATTTTAAAAGCCATCATTACCACACACGAGCAAACTTTAAAGATATAGGCAACCAAATAGCCGTTACTCTGTGCACTTGTATTTTCTTCCCACCAGAAACTTGGAAAAGAAGATAAAGAAAAACTCCCCAAAATTATATTTTGAAATCCAGTGACCTCACTGAGAGTGTGTCATAATTTAGAATTTATGACATCCCTCAACAACACTGAAGAACGACTACTGGATAACTTATCTTCCTCTTAGATTGGAGTATTTCTTGTCATCATCAATGATGGGAGAAGAAATACAGACTGCACATTGAGTTTCACAGTGTCTGGGTAACACAGGTTTCCTCACTCATGGCCTTGATGTGGTAATGACTAAACTGCGTAAGATAGTAACTTACCAGTGGAACTACACAGCTCTATTCCATAAGCCTGCTATAAACTGGAATACTCACAGTTCTCGAGATCAATAGTCATACCAGAGAAAGTGGCTGTCCTATGAAAAGGAAGGTCCCCGAGACTGTTAGCTTAAGTTAAACAAATTTCAGTCACTAGTCTCACCTGTATGACTACAGTCAATGTCCTGCAAACCCCTCTCCATCTATAATCCAATTAGGCTCCGTTACAAACGTTTGGACACAAAACTTGGTCGTAACAGAGAAAACTCTCCAGGGACACTCAAGTGCCTTGTCCTTCGCAGACACAGCATGTGCCGTGTCGCTCTCTCACGGGTATAACAGCATCCTATTTCACAGCAGGCTACGTTAGAAAGCACTGTCTCAAAGCCCCGAGAACTGTAAACCAAGAGCATTTCTAGAGAATCCGACCTACAGTAGAATCTGATAATTAAAGCCTTCCAGCATTTACTTAAATAATGGATTCATCTGCAATACCATCCAACGTTTTTTCACATCTTTAAGTGTTTTCTGTCCGTGAGGACGGGGTGCTATCCAGATGCTCAACCCTCCCCAATATCGTAATGTCCACCTGTGATGTGTGGGGACTGCAATCAGCTCTCGGTACACAACAGATACCAGAGGTTAAAAAAAATTAAAAAGAACCTAAAAAATGTTTTGTTGGACTCCGTTGCCCAGGCTGCCAGGGGAATGCTCCTACTTGATCTGGGGGGCTTCCATAACAAACAACTCAAGTTTCCGGAGTGTCGGTAACACAAAGAACGGATCGGTCCAAAGCGGCACTTTCACTCCTCGAGGTCTTCTGCACCTCACGACAGCTCGTAGGCATGGAGCCCCAATCCAACTGAACCCCCGTCTGGAGGGAAGGCTGAGATAAGGCTTGGGCCCCTGAAGTTCTGTCATGCTCTCGTCCTCCCCCCAGGTCAGCTGGAAGGCAGACTTGGCAACGGAAGCTAGCATCATAAAATGGTGCAGTAATAGAAGTAACTGGACCAGGAAGAGGAGGCATCTGCCCCAATGATGTCGTAGCCGTTGGCAGCAACTGGGGAGTGGGACTGGTCATGCAGCCGTGTGTCAGGAGTAATGATTGTAGAGGGGGGGGGCATGAAGAGTGCCATTCTGGAAACAATGCTGACGGGAAGCCATGTATTCCGCGTAACTGATTGTCACCTTCTCACTGCGGTACCTGTGGGAACAGCGTAAGAAAAACCAACATGAAAAGGCTATGCAACATGAAGGGACTAGCCCTAAAAACATTCATCCCAGATCACCTTTTCGCTCACAGCCAGTACAAACCAAGAAGAACCCACTAACTTAATTATTAACTACTTCGTTTGATATTGCCTCACGCAGCAAGTCTGAATAACCCATGTAAGCTTGAATCAGCTTCAATGTCCCAAAAGTTGAACTCTATTTGGGGCAGACATAAATAAGGGGACTCTTGAAGTAGCCCACAGGAAACAAATGATCAATTTGTGTTCTTTTTATCCACTTGCTGCGTTAAAAAAAAGGGCACGAAAAATGTGCTGGAAGACGACTCGGTGTCAGAGAGTAAACAACCAGTATTTCACTATTATTTACTTTTGTGGTTATCTTCACATTTGAAAGGCTAGTGAAAGAAAACGATGGAGAGCTGGATAAAGGAGGTTTGCTATAGCATATATGCAACTTCGTCCACACGGCACAATCGGAATTCACAAAACGTGAAGTCTCTTCTGAGAGACCAGAGATTTCCAGGTGCTTCTAAAGCATGCTACGCAGCAAACAACTTCAAACTCGTCGTGAATTGCACTAAGTCTGTGTTACACCAGATTTTAATGAAAAAATTCATCTGGTCCTCTCCTCTGAAAAAATAACCTGTGTATCCACCTCATTTCTCCAGAGGTAAGGAACAACCTGATGAATTAGTGTCTCTATACAAAACCAAAAAGTCCCAATTTTTACTAACATAAAGGGAGCTGAAACCAATAGGACAGCTGGGGGTATAGAAAAGCAAACAAATTCTGAAAACAAGCCAAATTTGAGTGTGGTTTGGTTTTAAGACAGCTGTCACCTTCAGATAGCTACGCCATCCACGGATGAGCACACAGAGAAAAGGAAGTCCGTTTTAAAGACAGAGCAAAATCAACTTTTTTAACTTTCAAAGGTTCCACGTCTTTTGATCTTTTATGTGGATGACAATATTAAAACCAGTGGCACTTCTCTTAGAAAACGCTAACTTGGATCCTTCATGGACCGAATGTATTGTGCTTCATTCCATATACATTATATGCCTGGCACGCGGCAGTTATGATTTTGTCTTTCAGACTGCATCTCTCATCTGAAAGAGGCATGAAGACTTACCTTAAGTACAGCTGCTTTAACTTACTTACAAAACACTACAACGTAAAATTAAAAGATGACAAATATATCGACTTACCTGGTGAGTTTAATCGTTTTCCTAAAATCATTGGTAATTGGAGCCTTAAAGCCACCTTTCCTGAGTAAGGAGTCTATGGTCTGGATCTGATCCCAGTCTATTGAAAAATAGAAGCAAGGGAAGTTTGTCAATATGAAAACGATGTTTCAAAAAGATACGAGATGCATTAAAAGGCCTCTAGAAAAGCAAACTAAACAGGAAACCTTGAGCTTTAGAAATCCCAGTCTTGAACTGGACATATATGGTCTTATGCATGCACACTATCTGCACACGCCAACCCCTTTTAGCTCATACTGGAACTGCTCTATAAAACAGTAATTCCATTTTCCATATGACCTCTCTTCTTATAAAGGTCTGTGCCTTGCTTCTCTTGCAGGGACCCCAAACTGTTTTATCATGTGCCACTCAAATTTAGCTCCCTAAGCCTTAAAATGAGGTAATACTTAGCTCTTTACATAGACAAACTGGGATCAACCTGATGCTCTAGTGATAGCACAGTGCACTGCTATGTGAGAGATCAGAGTTAAAATTCCTACCTTAGTCTTTTGCCCCAGAGCCAGGAGGATGCGACCACTCCACTCTGCTAGGTGGAGGAAAGGAGGCAATATTTTGAGCAGTTACCATGGTGACCGCTACTATATTTGAGTGGGAAGTGTGCTCCAGAGGGGCCCTGTTTCCTGCCCTCATCTGGAGGACGCTACTTTAGCAAGAATGAGGAGGAAAGGGACTCTCCTGTTGGTGCTGTGCAGCCTGCAGTTATCCTAGTTGGTGGGAGAAACATAGAAGAGGAAAGATGCAACGCTGAATGAAGCTGGAAGATCCATGCTTTGAGATCCTCTATTTCTTAAGCCCTAAAACATTTTTACAGTAAGATACAGCTGTGCACAGATGTGGGATGAGAGAAAGGCTAGATGAAAACCCAGCAGCAGCTGTGTCAGGTGTGTTATCTAGATTAAGCCTGATGGCTCCATGGCACTACTACGAGGATAGCATTGCAATCCAAACCCAAAATCCATAGATTTATGTTACCCAATTCTGTGACACAATGTGTTGACATGTTTGGCTGCCATCTCAAACCCACCTTGTTCCTTAGCAACCTCAGGTAAATACGTGGCTGTGCGTTTGACACCTTTCTCATTGATGAACTCTATTCTGATCCCATGGATCCCAACCTATAGATGGAAATGAATAGCCAAATAAGAAGTGTTTGCTAGCACTGAGTCCATGATCGAGTTGTCATTCCCACAACACCGTGTATCTCTCTCTCTCTGGCCAGTTTGGCTTTTGCCCAGATAAGGAGATTTTCTTCCCCACTCTGTCCTTGCCAGGCAGGTCTCACAAGCAGCTCTCTTAGCAGCATAAAGCACCTCTGTCATCTTTCCCAGATGAGCCTATCCAGTCTCCCTGCCATTTCTCCTGAATTAAGTCTCGTCAGAAGTCCGACAGTTTTCCATCTCTTATGTTGGGTGAGAAAGACAAGATCTCTACACTAGGATCATGCCTGAAATAGCCCAACCATGAAGTCTATTTAATCCTTCTTGAACTAAACACACTTCTGAGTACAAAATCCTAAAAATGATTAATACCTTCAGTCTTAAGAACTTTGTATTCCCAGTTTCTATTCACAGCATCAAAATACTTCCCAGGTTTTTACGTATGTATTTACACCTATCTCCTATTGGGCCAAATTCATAAAACACTTTTCATGTCTCTTATTCCCATTCAGATTCCCTCCCAACCAAAAGCATACTGCTAGCCCATCCTCTTCCTCTCTTCTAGTTTTCCAGCCCCATTTCTTCTATTCCCAGTTTCAATACCCATACACCCCTGTAAGGAAGGAGACACATCACCATGTACTAACCCGAACCCGAACGGAACGAGAGAGTGATGCAGAGTTCCAAATGCACCTGTTCTCACCTCCCAGTCCAGGTAGTCACTGGCATCCTCAAAGTTAGTGAGGAGGGAGACAGAGCAGAAGAGTTTGGGCAGCTCCTCGCGAGTCAGGGGGGGGAATCGGCTGTCCTTAAGTGCACTAAAGGAAAGATAAGATATATTGCCTAATACAAGCACCAAATTAAAGTGTTGGATGCTCAAATACTCCCTTTTTTATTATGCTTCCGTGAAATATTCTTCTCTTTGCTAGTGCAGAGAAAGTGACTTGCATCTCTTCCTAACCTAATGAACTGTAATACGCATGTGTGGGCTGCCTGACGCTGTCCTCCACTTACTGCAGCTGGAGAGAAATTAGGTGCTACGTGAGATGTCAAAACTGTTAGCATGCAAGACAGATTCGACATTAGCTTAAAACGTCAACTCAAATTCACCTGTTGCAAAGATGTTCCAATAAATCCTGGTATATTACCTCGCCCTAACTACCATACATTTCTCAGGTTTGTTTTATTGTGAAGCATATTAAATTGAACTACGTCAATCCAACACCTTAACCTTGAATCCTCACAGATCTTCAGCGAATTAAACTAATTTCAGATTTATTTCATTTTCAACTTATTACCTGGTTAATGTGTATTCCCTGAGTCCTGTGTGAAGATTCATGGCTGAAAAGGTCCCGATGCAGCCACGAAGCCGCTTGTCTCGCCCCGTCTTCCACGTCACAAAGAGCGGACTGAAAAGGCAAAAAAGAGCAATACTCCAGTCTCTAGAGATATGTGGTTGTCAAGGGGAGACCAACGAAGTGTAAAAAAGCACATATGCATGCACTTGCTTTCTCTCCCTCTAATAAACCCCAACAGGCATGTTTTCTCACCTGCTATCAGCAGTAATAAAAATCCACACAGCCCCAAATGCAAAACCCAACATCTGTCCCCGCCTTGCAGAATACCCCTTTCTCTCCACCAGTACTCTGTAAGCTCTCCACTAACAGCTTCCTGGTCAGACTCTGCACCGTCTTCTAAGGAGTGATAAGGTTATTTGACCCCACTGATCACCTCTGTGAGTAACGGCTTCACTTAGTAGCATCCACTAGTTTACATGACAACCCACATGAAAATGATATAGGTGAAGCAAATAAGATTACTTATATAGTACCACTGAACCTGAAAAATCCCCAAGCTTTCTGCAAATCATCTATAATTCAGGTTTGCGATAAAAGGTTTTATTTTAAAGAGACAAAAAGCAAGCCCAGGATTTTTTTTCCCCTGTTATTTCCATGAGGATCTGACTTCTGGGTCTGATCCTAATGCTCGAAGAGTTTTATGTTCACATCTTTTGCTTACCTTCCATTTGATTTACATTTACACGGATTCTCTCCGGTTGGAACACATATCTAAATCACGATATTGTTCCTATTCAAACATCACATGCATTTCCATTTTCCTGTCCACTATCATGAATAACATGGCGTAACAGTAGATTCTCAAATTCAGCAGGCTCATTTCAATCTGTTAAACTAGAAGCCATGATTAAGCCTCAAAGAAAAAGTAGTTCAGAACAACAGTATTCAAAAGACCTTTGTGAAGAGGTAAACAGCTAAAAATGACTGTGAACATTAAATGAAAAAAGTTCACTTCGACAGAAGTGAGTGAAATTGCAAACAGCTGTAGAGGAAAAAAGAAAGGACAGTGGTGGCTGCAGCTCTTCAAGAATGTTTGAACAGCTGGAAAATTTTGCAAGGCAACTGATGATGCAAATCTAATTATAAAAACAGGATGAATGATCTTATTTTTTCAGATTACAGAGTACTGAATACAAGATATGGTGACTTCAAACCCATGCATAAACGAGAAGAAAGTTAGTCATTAGTGATTTCAGACATCCTTCTGTGGATTTCTGTCAGACTTCAAAAGATAAGTAATACGATCGAAAACATGCAGTGTTAAGAAAATAATTTTCTGGCACTAAGCAAACATTGACAGAAGTTCTAAAACATGAAGACAGAATAATTGATTCTACAACAGAGCTCAGACACTCACTTTCCTCACACTCTTGAAGCTCTTGTAAGCAATATATCTTTGCAGCAAACATTGCAAAAAATACTAAAAGATTCTGTTCAGACAACAAAACCAGCATGGAGTGTGGGTGATTTCTCAAATACAGGCAACAGAGTTTCTTCATCTAAGTAGTTGGAATGTAATTTAAAACGTAATGATAAAGCAATGCCCAGTGATGTTCCTCAGAGCAACAATGGAATTAAAAATCTCTACCACAGCATAAATCCGTCATTCAAGATCTAGTTACCAGCTGTGACCAACAGCAGAAGTACTACCTAAAATAGCAAACAGCCTTTAAGTGATAATTATGAAGTACTCTGCCCACAGAGGAAGCGGAAACATTCTTCCACAACCATCAGCCACCTTATGGCTGCTTGACCAAGACAGAGGATTTACTGTTCTAGTTTTCCAACAACACTTCAAGGCACCTTCAGGATGTCATTCCTCTACATTTTCATCTGGCTACCATATGTTGAAACAGAAACAGAGTGTAAGAAAACACATTAGAAAGTTCACCAAAAAAGACACTAAACTTACAAAGGAGATTTCTGAGAAACATTACTGTCACGAGCTCAGTGGAAATTTAGTTTAATCTAATTAAAGTTTTGAAACCATTACTTAGTCCATGTGACACTCACCCCAAACAGAAAAGGGAAGGGAGAAAATTAAAAGCGTCACTAACAGAATACAAATCTAAGTAAGTTCCTTCTCTTCTTCAATTCTAATTACAGGTTCACATTTCCAATTCTCCTCTTTCCCCTTCAGGAAAAAAAAAAAAAGAAAAAAAAAAAGATGTTTCCACTGAGCTGTGACACAGCTTTCTGCATCTATAATAGAAGAGGTATTACTGGAAAGGACAGGATAATCACATTCAGAAGGCTGCCATATTTTAAAATATCTTAAAGCACATTTTAAACACTTTTTCACCGTGGTCATAACAACTGAGGCATAAAAAAAAGACAAATGATTTCCTACAAGTATATAAAATTTCATCATTATAAAGCTTTTCACTGTAGAGAAGTCGTCACTTCTGTACCTGAAGAATAAACGCGCTTCACAAATTGCAGGTGCAGCTGACCATATGTCAATTGTTTCATAGCATCTCCTTGAAAAATGCATTTCCCAGCTGTACTGAGAAAAGCCACAGCAATCTTCTGCCTGTGCTCACCCAACACCACTTACTGGTTCTTTGCAGTCGTATCCTGAGCAGATTATGGCAACCAGTTCTCCCCCAGCCACAACATCCTACTTAGGTAGCGTTTGCTAGGCTGAGGAGAGGGGAATTCCAGCAACTGAAAACTAGCTTCTCCAGTTGCAACTACAAACGGAATTTTTAAGTAGCAAAATACAGTTTGTTCAAATCAGAATTTAGCTTGTACTAGGAAAAAGCCTGTTATGGTACAGGTTTTATGATGCAAGGGTCTTATTGTCGTGCACGGCAACTAGAAAGTTGTGTGGTGTGGTTTCAGTACAGTTTGTAATAACTAAGATGAAAAATAAAAAAATCAAAGACTGAAGTACAAAATTGGAAGTAACCAATTAACTATTTGCATGCCATACAGGTTCAAAATTGTAATGTTTTCTGTAACCTGAATAGCAAAAGGACTGTCTTCTACATTTACCGAGTTAGTTCAGACATAACTATGAGTCTTGCAGTGCCACCTTTTCTCTACATTGATTTGTGAATGTCATTGCTAAGATATATGTGAGGTTCTCCTACTCCATAGGTATCCACCAGCTCCATAATTCCCATCAAGACTGTTGTCCATGTGCATATCCTCTCAAGCTGGTAACTGGAATTCATGGTAGTTTTCAAGTCATAACCCTGTAACTTTTATTGTATTACCCTGTTTCTGCGGAACGCTGACCTTCACGGCTACTTCTATCATTACTTGAGGGTTCAGCGCCAATTTAAAAGATCTGTTATCAGAGAAATATGTTGGGACAAACCTGTGCATCTTTCTGTTCCTTCCACCAACAGTCTCTTTTCTGTCTGTCCAGAGAGACTTCTGGTATATACCTTTGTTTGTTCAAATATCCCTTACATTGACATTAATTACATTACAAAGGACAACAATGCAAATTATTTACGTATTTTAACGTTGCTTACTCTCATATTTGATAACAGTTGGCTTGAAATTCATTACATTACTGTCTCAAGTGTGACAGATCATCCCTGTGTGCTGCTCTACAAGAGAGCAAACCCCATGCTTTTCCCTAGAGTACATACAACTATTTGCTAGAAGCAGCAGTATAAATGCTGAAACACACACACAAAAAAATCAGGTAGGCATTTGCCTGGAGGGGAAGAAAAGAGCTGGTTTTGCTTTGGAGTGCTGATCTAAAAGACTTAAATTATCAGCACAGAAATGCCCCGTGAACGATTTTTAACTTTTCAAATTAGGGCATAAAATTCAAACAGCTGAGATTCCCGAAAGAATGCCCTTTTTGAAAGTAGTCAACAGAAACAGCAATAAAATCCAGCTATAAATCTCCTTTAACACCTAAATAATGAATCTGTATAAAATAATCTCTCTTATTGACTCAAGAACAGAACAACAACAAAAAAAAACCCTTTGCATTTCAAGCAACAAAATAACAAGGAGCCTCCTTAGCTCAGGTCTGAATAACAACAACAGAAATATTTCAGCCTGGGGAGTCCCTGGGACTATTCTGTATTCTAGTCCCGAGTATTTCTCCATTCACTTGTATTTACAGCATTAAACAGCTTAGTCTGCGGTAGCATTCAGAGCGTGCATCCATAATCCTGCTCGGATAATAACTGCATGGATGCACAACCTACATCTACACTGACAGCCAATAAGGTGGGAAGACATTCAATACACAGAAAAAGTCCTTGACCTGTTTAAGCCATTGTTCCTTTACATCAATTTAAAATTAACTTAAATTAAGGACGTCAACAATTTTTTATCTATTGTTCTGGAAGTGGCCCTTGGAGGAGTGGCAGAAGGTGTACCCGTCATTGATCTTTCCCATGTTGATTCTTCCACCAAACAGTTTAACATTAACATGGGTGCCTCGCAGGCCCGCGTGCAGCCCCAGGCCGGGGGCGGTTCACCATAGCCCAGCGGTGTCAGCCAAGGGCCCTTGGCGCCCTAAATTGAGACTCAGGGAGCTCCCTGCTCCTGGGGCGCCTGCTAGGCGGAGGCAGAAATCATCCTTCCAGGGCCGCCAGGGTTTGTTGGGCCGATAGGACGTGGCACGGCAGTGTGGGGAGAGGAGTGGGATGTGAGAGAAACAACTACACAGACACCAAGGTCAGCGAAGGAGGGGGAGGATGTCTGCTGGAGCACAGATTCCCCTGCAGCCTGTGGTGAGATGGCAGGCTGTCCCCCTACAGCCCATGGAGATTAAACGGTGGAGCAGAGATCCACCTGCGGCCATGGAGGACCCCACGTCGGAACAGGTGGCTGCACCTGAAGGAGGCCATGACTGTGTGGGGAACCCACACTGGAGCAGTGTGTGCCTGAAAGACTGCACTCCATGGGAGGGACCCACACTGGAGCAGTTCTTGAAGAACTGCAGCCCATGGGAAGGACTCATGTTGGAGAAGTTCATGGAGGACTTTCTCCCTGACAGGGACCCGATGCTGAAGCAGGGGAAGAGGGTGAGGAGTCCTCCCCCTGAGGAGGAAGGAACGGCAGAAACAACTTGTGACAAACTGACCACAACCCCTGTTCCCCATCCCCCAGCGCTGGTGGGGGGCAGAAGGTAGAGAAAATGGTGAGCAAAGCTGAGCCCGAGAGAAAAGGGGGGAAAGTGGTTTAAGATTTGGTTTTATTTCTCATTATCCTACTCTGATTTGATTGGTAACAAATTAAATTTACCTTTTTCCCCCCAATTTGAGTGTGTTTTGCCTGTGACTATAACTGGTGGAGTGATCCCTCCCTGTTCTTGTCTTGACCCATTAGTCTTTTGTTATATTTTCTCCTCCCCATCCCTCTGTGGCGGGGGAGGGGTGAGAGAGCTGCTGCATGGTGCTTAGTTGCCGGCTGGGCCTGAACCATGACACCTTGGTATCGTCCTTGAAAGTCAACTCTCCATTTCTCCCCATATTGCCCAACTAGCACTATCACCATAACACAGTCTTTCAGTTCCACAACTGGCAAAATTTTGGTTTCCCTCCCTGCTAAACCCATTAACTTGGAAAACTGAACTCCCTTCTGAGTGTCCTTGTCCAATTCTCACCACCTCAACACTTGTTTCAGGATGAGGCAGGAACTTGTTTCAACTTCTTACTTTATTCCCTTCCCACTTGCTTCACAGAAGGAAGTCTCTCCCTTTGTCTCTTCACCAAGTTAGTGCCTGACATTAGAAGTGAGATCCCCTTCAAATTAACGACATTATTCTACTGTTCTCTGAAACCTCTTTCACTCATTCTTTTAGTACAGTTTCACGGGAGGCACAGCAAAGTTAATTTTTTGCGGAGAAATCCATTTACAAAGAAGGGAGCCAGCTTTAACAGAACGCTGTCATGAAGTGGGTTTGCACTCCTCGATAAAGTACACAATGTCTCCTGCAACACATCAGACAGCGAGCTGAAGGACCACATTTCCTCATATTTTGCCCAGCTCTCTTTCTGTAGAGCTAAACACGCTCTCCCTTGAAGGGAGCTCTTCAAAGTTCCACTCATCTCCATCAACAAACATTAACAGAGTATTTTTACTCTTTCATACATTCGCAGTGCATCATTTTTCATTTCTGGTAGACAAAGGAAACAGCAGAACACCCCCTTCCTCCCTGCATACCAGTTTTCCCATTCCCCAGAGGAGACCCTTCATCCCTCCCCAACCAAACCACAGCTCCGGGTGCTGGTTTCTCAGCTTTCCTCCCGCACATGGATTTACTCACTAGGGGTCATTGGTAAATCGAGGAAGTCGTGGCTGAGGGAAACCATAGAGATGACAGTAGAGTACATCGAAGCAGTAGCAGCACATCTCTGCTGTCACCACCAGGTTCTTGGTGCTGTTGGCAGTTCCATTGGGCCGAGTAAGTGGGCTCAGAGCTCCTGAAGTGGGATTCATTCGAGTAATTGGAGAGTTTCCTGGGCCCAAAGTCAAGTCAGATACGTTCTCCCTTCCATTATTCCCGTCTGTATGCTGGTGGTTCTGGAGAGGACCTGAACTGGAGCCCGGTACAGTTGTGGTCTGATTCCCATGACTGTGCGTTCCGCTCCCCGACAATTTGGGCTTCTTTACCCCACAACAGCCAGCTGCCAGCTTGGGCTCAAGTGGAGGAACACAGCGTCTTTTTCCCATCCTGCTTCAAAACTCGCTGTCTGGAGCACTGCAGAACCCTGGCAAGCAAGGGGGCAGGGGAAAAAAAAAAACAAACAATACACAAAATAGTTACAGGTGGAAAACCAACAGCTGCTTCCTTGCTTTTGCTAAGGTGTCAGAGAGGATTGCTTTTGCAACAAAGAGAGGAAGAAAACCCTCACGGAACTAAAAGCAGTTCAGCAAGCAGAACGGGTGTTTTTACACATAAATTGAGTGTGCACACAACATGCATGAAATCACACTTCTGAAGTTGTTAGTGAGGTGTCCTGTACACTTTAAAAGGCAGCTTATCACAAAAAAACAACCCCAAACATGACCAGCCGTTCCCATCAAGGAAATGAGACTGTGGGAGAACAGAAGAGAAAAGACAAGATGACTTTGGACTACAGATATATCCCATTCACTGCTTTTCCGGATCACCCGTTGCCCAGGGTCAATGCCTGCACCAATGGCAAACAAGCTACTGAAAAACCACAAGCGCATTTCCCTTCCCCATTCTCAACAGAAAGGTGACAACAACTCTGAATGACACCTTCAGGGTTGGACTCCCAGGGGTGCTGCCCTTGATTCAGCATGAGCCTACGCAAGACACAAAGATAAGCTACAAGCATTGAATCACCATTTTCTAAACAACAGACTATTTTCCAGACCCCATGACCTAGAATTTGCGTTTACTTTCTAGGATTAAAGTAAATCCATAGTGCTCCTAAGTAAGCGTGTAGGGTGTACAGTCAGGATGTGCAGGAGAGGAAGAGCTGAAGACTGCGCATAGTCTGAACAGAGGGCAGCAGTAATAGCAGGAAACAGATACTGTATTTAAAAAAAAAAAAAACAGACAAGTGTTTTGCTTGCAAAGAAGAGAATGCTAGCTCTTGCATCACAAGAAGGGGTGGACCAACTCCACGGCAAAAAGCCTATGCAGACAAAAATGAACAAAGACGACAGGCAAGTACTACACAGGCAGGAACTTAAATAAGTGTAATATCATTATCACCATGAGATCTAAGCAGACAAAGGGAGAGAAAAACAGTTCCCATCTGTCAAGACACGTAAGTCACAGAGAACATCGGGGAGAACTGGAAGTCCCATTCAGCTCCTGTGAGTACCAGGCTAGTTCTTTAACCACCAGAGCACCCCTCCAACTCTTCCAACTATTTAACTGATGGCTGAACCGAACACACAGAACAGAGGAGGTGTGACAGGCACTGAAACTCATCATGTGACAACTCCCTTCCTTCTCTGCACGTGCAAACAACGTAAACTTTATCCATGCAGTTTCATCAGTCATTGTAAGAGTCGTAGGATCCTGATCTGAACCGGAATTGGTCTGAGACATGCTGAGATGTGCCTCCCAACACAAACCACCCATACTCTGCTCAGGAATCCTCACCTCCAAGTTTTAAAATGATAATCTGCACAAGGAACAATTTACAAGACCTAATGAAAATGATCTTGTTTCCTTTGATCTCTACTTTTGTGACAAAAGAAACAAAAAACCAGACAAAAGTGTAACTTTGACAAAGTAAACATGTAATTTCCCTCCGAGCCTACTGAAAGTGACGCTACTACGGCTCAGCGAAGCCGCCTTGCCAAGCGAGCGCTGAAGGGCAGCTGCGTTCGGGGGGAAATTATTTCTTTATTTGAAACCGTAACTCTTCACTTTAAATGGACGACGTGCCAGCGGGCAGAAAAGAGGTCTCCTCCGTTTATCGGCCCCCGCGGCGGGCAGAAGGGGCCTAACGAAG